CGCGAGGCATCCTTCCTTTGACGGTTATTGTGGTATCATCTGCGAACAGGAAAAATACGCAGCCGTCTTCGAGGGGAGGAATGTCGGAAGTGTAGATGCTGTAAAGCAAAGGACCCCACAGACTTCTTTGCGGAACACCTGCTGGGATGGAAAACGTGTCTGAAAGACAACCATTCAACGATACCTTAAACGACCTTTACTGGAGGTAAATAGGGGTGATTTAAACCAGATGTAATATGAAGTTGAAGTTACAAAGCTTGTACACAAGTCCGCCATGCAAGACATTGTCAAACGCCTTTTCAACGTCTAGCAAGACCATGGCTGCCAGTGGCGCCGGTGGTGTAGTGCTAATCGTGATTGACTTTCAGCCAAAGGGTCTGGGTTCAATCTAAGTCGGTGCCGCTGAGAGATTCTGAGGCATAATCACGCCTTCCTTCGGAGGGACAGTAAAGCCGTTGGTCCCGGTTCATGGGTTGATGGGTCGATAGGTAGGGTCCAGGTGTGGGTGCTGCCTCCCTGGCGTCGGTAGCATTGGTACTCAGTACGGAAAACAAATCAAGGAAAAAAAAACCATGGCTTGTGGACTTGAATACAGCTTTGTTTCTTCGGATGTTATGCATCACTCGTACTTAGCTGGTGATTGGTGGAGTGCCCCTTCCTGAACCCAAACTGTTCCGGAAGGAGAATGTTGTTGATAAACATGAGTAACCGATTGAGGATTAGTTTCACAAACAATTTGCTCAGCGCTGAAAGGAGGCTGATTGGTTTGTAGCTTGAAGACAATGTTGGATCCTTACCGGGTTTGCGGATTGGTATAATTTTTACTACCTTCCAGACGCTTGGAAAGTAGTGCAGCTCCAAGCATCTGTTGAAGATAGCGGTCAAAAGAGACTGCGCTTTCATGCTGAGTCTCTTCAAGATTAAGTTAAATATGCCGTCAAACATGGGAGCCTTCATATTCTTGGTGCAATTCAGGGCTGAGCAAATCTGTTGTACTCAGTGGTGGCACGAGTACTGGAGTTTAACGTCTTTTCCTTAACATTTAATACTTTGCGCTATGACCATAGAGAAGAAGCACAAACGGAAAAAAAAATGTCATGACATTTCTAAACTGTTTTCTGCAGGCGGCAGAACATTTGCGCACAATGAAGCAGACAAGACCAGCGGTGCGTGCGACATAAATTTATGTCATGTAGAATTTTGCTGATATCTGGCTAATTATAGCATTTATTTGATGTTTATTGCTTGGAATTATAAAATAAGAACGAATACCAACCCCTCTTAAGCTTAGATGTTAAAATTATGCGTAAATAAGGGAGTTAATAATTAACTGTCACACGCAAGCTTGCAGCTAAAATGTAATTTCAGTAAACTGGTTGAAAAATAATGGGTTACGACATTTTTCCTATTCTCTATCTCCGCCGTTTGCTTGTAATGTAGAAATACACGACCGCCCGTGTGCTGGCTGTTTTGTTTTGCTCTGGACGATGGTTTTGCAAAAAATGTACTGTTGCCACCTCTGGTTGTACTGTAATCTTATCCGCCAAAAGCACGACACAAGGGGAGCCATCTAGGTTTTGAACGCATTGCACAACCTGATCTTCAAGTAGACTTAGGATAATCGAGTAAAGCAAATGCGATGAAGCGACATGCTTGCCGATCGCATTTGCTTTCTCCCGTGGCGTGATTAAGAGCCGATCGTCATCATATTCGTCTCTGAGACAAAACATACTGGTACGCTCTTTTATAACCTCGTGAAATCGGCTCATCTCTCTTTTCTCTCGATAGTCATAGCAAGCGAGCACGTGATTGGTTGGTTACGGCTATAAATTTTGATCAATTTTTAATAGTTAACCATTGATAAACAACTAAAGTGTATCCCACATCAAATTGCATCACGGAAAAACGCTGTAGAAAATTATCCATTGGGTATTTTCTCTTGAGAATTTGGGTAGAAGTAGTTTAGAGTGCATTGTTTACACTGTATTTTTATCGCTTTCAGTTTTTCGAATGTTGAAAAAAAAAACGGCGTCACTCGAAAAGCAACGTCGCGAATTAATTATATGATTTGAGTAGTAGCTATACTGAAGATCCGAGAGATGTCGCCCCTTCAGTGGTAAGAAAATAATTTTTGCAGTATGGAGAATATCAGAAAATCCACGATTTGTGACTAAACATGCTTTCACAGAAGAAAACAAATAAACGAGTTTTTACCTTATGACCATAGTAATGTACTCGTGCAATTTTCACGCATCTAAAACTACTCATAAAGACGATAATGAATAGAAACTGCAAATTTTCATGCATTTCGAAATGGTTTCCTACCATTCCCATACATTCGAAAGTGGCTGGCCCTCTGGATGTGGATGATGTCAAATACAACAAAACATGATTAATTGATTTTTCGCAAGCACCTGTAAAATCCTCAACTCTCTCATCGGGACATCGGAAAACAACTCGGAATCGTGCAGTCAACGGTGAGTCGTGTGATTAAACGTTACTACGAAACTCTGAGCATCGAACGGAAGGAGAAATGCGGTCAGAATGCATGTTCTATTAGTGATTAGGATCACAAGCGTGTCGTGAAAGCGTTTAAGCGGAATCCCAATGCTTCGGTTAGGAATGTGGCCAAAAAGTTGAATCGGTCCAAGTCTTTCGTTCAGAGAGCCAAGGACCGGGAGGGACTGCATACGTACAAAGTGCAGAAGGCTCCAAATCGTGACGAACGGCAAAATACGTTGGTAAATTCACGGGCCCGGAAACTGTACACCCAGATGCTGACGAAGCCTCATTGTCTCATCATGGACGATAAGACTTACGTCAAGGCAGACTTCCGGCAGCTTCTAGGGCTACTGTTCTGCATCGCCCAGCACAAGTTTGATGTTCCGGAGGAAGTAAAGAAGCAGAAACTTTCAAAGTTTGTCAAGAAATACATTATTTGGCAAGCGATCTGCTCATGTGGTAAACGGAGTGCGCCGTTCGTAACTACCGGGACTGTAAACGGGGAGATCTACCTCAAGAAGTGTCTACAGAATCGTCTGCTTCCTCTGTTGAAGCAACATGAGGGTCCTACGAATCTAGCTTAGTGCCACTATTGAAATGTTGTCCTGGAGTAGTACGAAACCAACGGGGTCACTTTCGTACCCAGGGACATGAACCTCAATTTTTTTCGTCGAATAGGTGATCTATCCACGTTACACTACGTATCGTGCTGTTGCTAGGATCTGTAATCAAGACAAGTTTGTTACTTGTATTAATTTTCAGATAATTGTTACAACAAGCTACATACGAAATGAAATTGATATCAGAGTAAGAGCAGAGGCTTTAAGGAAGGCCTGTAATTTCAAGATGTTTTAATATCTTACTCGACGAGTAGTTTGATTTAAAAAAAAGGTTGTTCAACTGTTTCTAAAAAATCTGCTATGGCATTGTTGGATGTTGAAAAAGCGATCCGTAATAACTGGCATGATGATTTCGTGTACAAATCACAACGATATGGTATTCCAATATTCTTCGTGAAGATCATCCTAAAGTATATCTCTGATGCCTGCAACTTTGGCGCGCGCGTTCCACAAGGACATTGTAGACGAAATACGCGTATCTGCTAAGAATACGTAATTAAGGTAGTGGAATTAAGGTGTTTCGCTGTGAGATCCTTATTCTAGTAATCACTTCGAAACTTCAAGTGCACAAATAACAGCTTCCAGGACACGTACCACAATGAAACTGTTACTCCACGTTCGCTGCACTGCAGCATACATAAGGTAACAATTTCAGGTGAAATGAAGCACTTATTTCTGAGATGTGTCATTGAACATTCGAATTGGTAGTGCATTTACAGCCTCCGTGGCGGCCATTTGTGGACTCTACAAAGAATCACCTTAAATGTGAGTTACTAATCCTCATTTTTTTCTCCATTACGAGGATAGTTCTTACATACTATTGGTGTATTCCAAGGAAGTTCAGAGGAGTTTTCAAGGAATTTATGGAACGTCTACAAGATGAAAATTTTCGTGGCACTTAAGTTGTTGTTTACCCCAAAATAACATATTTGTTTATAATAGCTTTACAAAATGTGTCTTTAAACACATGCAATTTCACGTGGATGCCTGAAAACTCAGCGAATTATATTTAGCAAATTGAATAGAGCCTTTTATCAGTATTATTTATATTGTTTGAATAAAATTTAGGATTTTTTTTTTCTGAAAGGACATCCATGTTCCTACAACTTTGTCTCAGAAGCCTTGTTTTAAATATGGTCGAATTGCAGCACCAATTTAAATGATTGTAGCGGACAATTATGCAAAGTTTCATGGAAATCAGAGAGTGTGAAATTCGTTTTTTGGGCTGGAATTGCTTTACTTTAATAAAGCTTAGGAGATATCCATAAACTACATAGAAAACATGCCTTAAGTACGTTACGGAAAATTCAGCATAAAAATATACGTCGGAAGAAGACCAGACAGCTATCGAATTGTTGGGAAAAATAAAAAAAACCATCGTTTATTTTTTTTAGGGCTGTAAGGCTGCAGAAAACACACAAATTATTCGTAACATTGAAAAAAAAAAAAACCTACAAACTCAATCCTACAACGCAACACTTCACTATGTTTAATTGCAGTGCAGTGCGGTTGGTCAACAGCTGCTAATAATCATCGATAGAGGGAATACCTGTATTAATGACATCATAAATAGCCCCTTTTCCAAAGCATCCGAAATTCAAACGAGAGAAACGTTGTTTGCATACAAATCGCTCAGCCTATACGTAATCCCGCATCAGACATCGGTCAACACAATGCACGAAAGGCAATCTGTCGTGTGATAATAATTGCGCTCAGTTCAAAACCTATACCACTGCACAGCGCGTCTATTATAGTGGCTTTTCTCCTACGATGAGCTGTGATTCATTCTTCCATTACTATTCTACAGCCAAGTGGTTCTATCGGTGATAGCTATCAGGAGTTATGAGGATACCCATCTATAGAGGCGTGTGGACCTACCGATGACAATTCCAGCTCATCATCGCTGAACAGAGTATTTCCAGATCGATACTGTCGTTTGCTCCGGTCGGCATTCATTGTCGTTTAGCTATCACTTGGGATTATACCAGATGATCGTTTAACCTCCCAGGACAGTAACAACAACTCAGGGGGTGTTGAATATTCCTTTCCTTCTCGGGGTAGCTTGCACTTGCTGCATCTTTTTACATATTGCTATATTCGTTTGCTTTCTTCACACCATGCGAATCGATTTTTCCTCTTTTGTTTGCCACTGCTGATATCTACATGTATCGCACTATTCGCACAGGTGCTGGTACAATTCTGAACTTAGCTTCTGGCTTTTCCTTTCGCACACATTATACACGTTTTCGCAACACGTTAATTAGTAGATTTTCTGCCTTCTTGTTTACACATAATTTCAATATATACAATTTTAGTAAAGTAAGGGACGAACACTTGGGGACACTACTTCAGCACGATATAATAGTAATGAGTAGATTCTTGCTTTCTGGCGTATAGAATATAGAGACTCGAGTTACATACTCGCTTGGGAAGCATAAATAGGTAATACTGATGGATTGATTGCGAAGAATTACGCGATTATCATCTTCTTTGGTCTACTCCGCTTGATTTCAAGGTAGTGTCTTCTGTCTACCTTCGGGCGCCATGTTTTTCACTTTGCATGCTCTTTGACACTAGCTTTAGTACGCGACACGCCACACGAACTCCCGATGCAGGACTTTGACGATACGAACAGTGTGACAGTCGCCGACACAATGGGAGAGAGTGGCCACTATCAAGTGGAAGCTAGCCGCTTCAGCATGGTCCCAAATCCAGCTCTATACCTACAACAAAAATGTAAACTTTGCTAATGACTCTCGCGAGAGGAGAATCTGCGCATGTGCAAATTGTGACATGTGCACGTTGTTGGACTATTTAGGGGAAAAACGGGTACTGTGATTCGTAGCACGAAATGCAAATTGTAAGTATGTTCAAACTATGAATTGTAATACACATAGGGTGGGTGAGCCAGTAGTGGAGGTACTAAGCCAATTTATCAGTTAAAAAATATATATACGATGTACACAATCTATAACTTTCAACCTCCATTTTGATAGAAAAATATTACATTGTAATAAAATTTTAGAAAGATCGTCCTCCATTAATAGGAACACTGTTCCAGTAGTTGTGGTAGTTGCTAACTTTAGTTCATATAATAGTGGAATGCGTTGGTTTCTTATGGGTTCCACTATTATAGGAACACTACCGCAACTATAGGTGCAAAAGAGTGAAAATCTTAAGGAAAATTAATTATTTTCCGTCACTTTTGGGCATATTTTATGTTTGAAATATGCAAATATGCTTTATTTTAGGAGAGCTACCGATGAAAAATAATCTTATCCGGATCCTAATCACTATACCACTATTACTGGAGCACCTACCCTACATATTCTTTCTATGAAAATTAGTGCACTTTGCATCAACAATCTGCCGTTAAATTCGAATTCGTGGAGTACAAATCTAGAATGTTAACACATTTTGATCTGCATTATTAATTGATACTCTTAATTGGTTTTCTCTTTGGATAACAATAGCTTGGCAAAGTACTTTTCGACTCGTTTCTTCGAATGCTTAAATATGTAAATGTAGAAATTTGATTTTCACTTTTAATCAATAATGAATAGTTTTAAGGTTTGCAGTCTACAGCGTCGAAGACTATGATAATAATAAAATGATAATATTAGCGATTTCATGAAAAAAGGACTACCGAAAAAAAAAATTGCTCCGATTTCTCTCAAAACCTTGTATATTTGTATTTGTTTTCGATTCTATAACATTCTCCAGAATGTACCATTCCCTACAAAAGCATTTCCCAGAATGTACCATTCCCCAGAAAAGATGATGAAATTAGTAATTTATCACTTTTTTAGGTCATTTGGTTTTATATTTCAGAGTTATATTAGGGTAGAGAACTACTTCGGCCTAATCGCCCATTTTGGGCCTATCGAGCAGAAAACTTCAAATAAATCCATGATTTCAGAGTTAACAAGTCAATTATGCGTTTGGTACGATACTTTAGTTAATAAGCTACCAAACTAAGTTAATGAGAACGCGTGATATGAAGATTTGCACCCATTATTTCCAAAAACAAAAGAAGCGCTCCGACCGAACCAATTTTTATCTTCATACGATAGGCCGAAGTGAATTCATTGGCGTTTCAATGCGTTAGGCCGAGTTTAGAATCTGTAGGCCGAGTTTGGCGTCAAGAAGCAGTGTTAGACTTTTGACAATATCTCAACGATTGGTTTTTCTTTATCAAATCTTAAGGTACGTACGGAAAGGTAAATAAATTTGGAAGCCATTAGTAATAATAACATTCTGTTTGGTTCCAAACTGCGCTAGATTAAGAAAGACTAAGTGCGGGTTGTCCTTAATAGGTCGAAAATGGGGTAGTTAACCCTACATAACAGCTTAATATACACATTTGATTTAATATATTTTTCATGATAAAACTCTCGGTATTCATCAATTCCAAACCATTTTATAGCTCTTTAGAAAATGACAACCTTCAAGTTTTCGAGCACTTCGTTCATCATTTAAAAAGTCAAAGGGTCTATTATGCAACCAAATTCAACCAGTCGGAAACTGTTAAACCTTATCGAAGAATTGTTCGACCAGAGTTGAAGAATTTCTCGTGATGGATTAAAAAATCGGTGCATGGAACGTTGAACTACCGATTACAAATTTATAACATTACTCCACACGTTATTATCCCATTCCCGTTACCCCGTATCCCTTGCAAAAAGCTATTGATTATATATTTTCCTTATACTCAGAACCTTCTTTTTCATACATCCAAAGAATTAATTAATTTCTCTTTTTTATATTCAAAGAAAGGAATATTCCCTTCTTTATCGTTTGCAGGCTTTCAATTGCTCATTACAGCTAAAATGCTAGTTTTCGTAATTATGAAACTATGGGATACTAAAATGATAATTTTTATTTGTAAGAAGCAAGAAGAGGTGGTAAAGTTTGTGTATGGCATATAAAATTTTTCAATTTTGCTTTCAGAAGGTCACAACTAGCTATTTTATGATCGCTGATTGCTTGCTCATCGCGTTGCTCATCGTTACAGCTAATCGCTATTGTGACCCTCTGAAAGCTGAATTGACAGGTTTTATGTGTCACATACGCTTTAACTTCTTTTCTTGCATCTTGTAAATAAGAATTATCATTGAAATATCTCTTAGCTTTATAAATCCGAAAAATAGCATTTTAGCTGTAATGAGCATTTGCAAGCTTGATCGTTTGTTCAAAGAACTAATTATTTCCTTTTGTTATATTTTCAAAGAAGGGAATATTCCCTTTTTTATCATATATTTAACGAATTAATTATGTTCTCTTTTAAATATTAAATATTATCCAAAGAATTAATTATTTTCTGTTCTTATATTTTCAAAGAATTAATTAATTAATTTAGCTTTATTTAGGAGGCTTTCAGCCTTAGGCTGGTTCGCCTCCGATATTTTCAAAGAAGGGAAAACCCCTTGATCCATTAAGGTGATTCCTTGTAGAGTTCACAAATGGCCGCCACATAGGCTATAAATGCATAATCATCTCGAATGTTCAACTACACAAAACTCGGAAATTAGAGTTCCATTTAACCTGAAATTGCTACTGCATGTATGCTGCAGCGCAGCAAACGTGGAGTAATAGTTTCATTGTAGTACGTGCCGTGGAAGCTGATATTTGTGCACTTAAAGTTTCGAAGTGGTAGCGAGAATAAGGATCTCACAGCGAACCACCTTAAGGTCTCCTAAAACCTCTTGACCCATTAAGATGTTTTTCTCTTCTTTTTATATACGCGAAAGAAGATTCCAGAAGTGGCTATAATAAATAAAATTAGTCAATCTAATACATGGCCGAGTACATGGCATTCTTTTCTGGGGAATGGTACATTCTGGGGAATGGTGCATTCTGGGGAATGGTTTTCTGGGGAATGGTTTTCGGGGGAATGTTTTTCTGAGGAATGTTATAGAATCCTTGTTTTCGGCTCTCGCAGTCTTTGATAAGCATATTGTATGTTTGTTCCTTATCGAAAAAATAGACCCGTATTTTTTTTAATTTCACCCTTAGGGTGCCCCTTCCATGATTGTACTTTTTTTTTGTGTATTAATTTATTTGATGAGGCTCAACCGAATTAACTTTTCAGAGCCGATGATTCTTGTTCACTATACAATACATCTTAAAACTATAGTCAAAAGGTACAACACAATTTATCATTTTATCTTCCGCTATCCAATAAGCCTCATCCACTAGAACGGGAGCCGCTTCCAGTGGTTTCATTGTATGGCAGATTCGCCAACGGGGGTCAGAGCGCTTCCATTGCAGCAATGGACGCAAATCGTGGTCAGCACTCACACATTCATCACGAAACGGTTGCTTTCCAAAGTCGACGACGCATTGACTGAAAGAACTGCTGATGAAGAACAATGAGGAGGACAGCACAATGGTTGCTGCCGAGTAAACAGACGATCGCGTGACACACATTGAGAATGGTTTGCTTCTGTCGACAGCCGAGTGAACACTCATGATTGTACTTGCCCGAGTACTTGCCACACAATTATACTAATGTAAAAATGGTACAGGCATCGAAAGCTCTCAATTAATAACTGGAAGTGCATGTATAACACTCAGCGAATCCAAACACATAAAGCAAACAACGATGCAGACAAAACGCTTGCTACAACTACTACTACAAACTCTCACTGCAACACAGCTCGATCGGAGTGGTAGAAGGATAATGATATATTGCTTGCCTGCTTTGTTGCAATAGACATGGTTGAGGACATAGTTTGATCGGAATCGAGAAAAGACATACCAAAAAAACACATTAACACACGTGTATCATCTTCGGCTTTACTTCGTGAAGCAGCATGCCAAAAATTTGATCGTTCCCTTCTACCATAGAGGTAACTCTAAGACTAGTAGGTCCCGAAGAAACGTGCTCAAGTTTTTGGCTCAGCTCTGGTACTCTCTTCGGTCCCAAGCTAATCGATGCACCCCTCGAAACATAGGAAAATACGAACCCCTCATTTTATCTGACAAACTTGCATAGCGAATCAAAACAAACATAGTGTAGTACTAGAATTTCGACTAGAATGGGGTACGTTAATCATTTGCTTGGGACCAATAGGATAGTCAAGTAGTGAGCCAATTCAAAATCGTTAGTTTCGTATTGATTGTTGGTATGCGTATGTAACATAAAACCTGTAAATTTTGCTTTCTATGAGTAACAATCAGCGATTTGCTGATCACTAAGTGAGTGACTGAGTGAGTGAGTGAGTGTGTGAAAAATCGCTGATTGTGACTTAGTGAAATAAACAGGTTTAATATGTCAAACACATTCTTTGCAACCTCTTCTGGTATCTTACCAATTCAAAATATGATCATAGCATCTAATTATTTCATAATTAAAAAAAACATTGTTTTAGCTGAAATGAGTATTTGAAACCTTGATTATATCATTATTGCTTTCCATTTCTGACATAGCTTTATCGTTTTTCTCGTTGATCGCTTGTCATTTTGTCATTTGGAGATATGTTTGATTCCTTGATAACACTAAGCTAATATGCGATAAACAATAAGCTTGTTTTTTAAATGTGCAAGTCGATGCCGACTATATGACGGCGCCCGAAAAAAAAAAATGGAAAATTTACAATAAAAAAGGGGGGTTGTTAAGTATCTTAACAATGAAATTTTCGTGATTTCCCCATATAATTTTTTTCAATAACATTATATATTATTGTTATTTTACTGTTGGTTGGCGAATTTATTGATTAAAAAAAAAATAACAGTGTACTTTAGAGTGTATGTGTTGCTTGACAGATCTACTTTATCGACTTTAAAAATAAATCGAAAAAATAAAACATCGCCCCGGGAAGGGAAGGTGGGTGTGGTATGTCTGTTACGGGTGAGTCCTTTTTTTACTGGTTATGGATTGAGATTCGATCCGGAACTTGTGAGAAATGGAGGTCAACTCCCCTGCACTCGATCTCTCTAGGTCACGTCTCCTTGGTCGTTAAGCGTCGTTGATAAGTTAATGCAACTGGAGAGAATCGCCCATGAAATATGCTTCCACCTGAGAGTTATTTCCTGACATCTTCAAGTGATGGATTTTTTTATTATTATTGTATGATTGTTGACTGCACGGAAAAGGTCTGCATTAAGCGGGATTCAGATGAGGCAGGAAGAGTTGAGTTCAACTAAAACCGATCTGGTCGTAGGCGTTCAATTGACTTGGCAACGAATAGAGCCAAACGAACTGTCAAAGCAAGAGCCATACGAGCAGCGCCTATCTTGATAACATTGGCAGTGTTGCTGACCCTCTCATAGTCTGCATGCTTCAATCAGATTTATTTTTATTGTTCGTGAAGTAACCCACAATGAAAACACACCAATATTTAATGTAACAACAATTTTTATTGTAATAGAGTTGTTCATTATTGTTCGTGATCGAATCATGTTAACAATAAAATAAATGAAAAATACAATACAAATCATTGTAACAACATTTTATTATGTACATTTTTTTTTTTTTTTAATATCTTTATTAAGGAGACTTTCAGCCGTTGGCTGGCTCGTCTCCGAGATTATTATTATGTACATTCATTGTACATTCATTGTACAGCTAGGTAGCAGTTTTGCCGTTTTCGGAAGGGTACAACATTATATCAATCATTTTTATTGTCGACAATAAATATTAATGTTAGAGCATTGTTTCCACTGAAAATTTCACTGTAATTTTTTTTTCGGGCGGCCTAACCAGGCTTCCTATTGCGGGAAACCTTTCCTCCGGTCGATGTGGGTGCTTTCGTCGTCGTGTCGCCTTCATATTGGTGCGATGTGTGCTGTTCCATCGGACACGACGCTTCTCCATTTTCTCCTCCCTTCCTTTCATTGGTGAAATGGTGAGCGGTCAACCGAGCATTGAGCTCGCTCATGTGAGCATGCGGTGCGTCCGTGTTTGGTATTTTTCGTTACATGTCTGAATTGTGATTTTTTTAATGTAATCCCCAGTATAGAAATTAAAGACGTACTCCTACGTCAAAAACATTAAAATACCAGTTTTTATTGATTCCAACAGCAAAAAAAGGTTATCTTCCATTTAATTCCACCATTTTTATTTTGGTATCGTTTTGGTTCGTTTTTCTGCTCAACAAGCGATATGTTGTGGTAGCGTTCCACACGGGCTTTCTATGTGCACTCACACTATCATAGCATGTTGCCTATCTTAACTGCAGGCAGAAGATACCTTCTACCGCTAGGTGCGCTAGTGTTCGCAAATGACAAAGGGAGCCACTTTCTGATCCGAAGTTCCACTCCTGTGCTACCTAACTAATAAAAACCAAAGATTTTTCTTACTGGAGAGTTGTATAGATTTTTCTCCTTTAGTATACTTAAATCTTTGGTATCACTTAAATTAGCAATATTGTATGCCAGCTTGTAAACGATTTCGTTGTTTATGCCAACTGTAGCTCAAAATTAAACGAGGGGAGATTTACGCGATAGTTAAAATTCAGAATTTTTTTCTGTGTGCCCCGCTAGTGTGAGATTTTTTGAGCATCTAGAATTGGGATTTATAGCACCGACGAATTTATAGTAGTAAAGGGTGATACGGTCAAAATTTGGTCAAGGGAAAACGCGTGTAAATCGGTGAAATCGTTTATTTAAAAAATCAAATTAAATTTCTTTTTCAAGTTCAATTAGTATAAAATTCTGGAAAAATATTCAGTTAGGCTTCCGCTTTTCCAAATCCGAATTGCCGGGCCTTACGCTTGACCCCTGCCATCAGATTTTGTACAGCCACCTTGTCCACCTTCTTCGCCGCAGAAAGCCAGTTTGCCTTGAACTGCTGCTCGCCCTTAGCAGTTTTTTGGTCTTCTTTAGGTTCCGCTTGACAATAGCCCAGTATTTCTCAATTGGGCGGAGCTCTGGCGTGTTGGGAGGGTTCTTGTCCTTGGGAACCACCTGCACGTTGTTGGCGGCGTACCACTCCATGGCCTTTTTACCGTAATGGCAAGATGCCAAATCCGGCCAAAACAGTACGGAACAACCGTGTTTCTTCAGGAAAGGCAGCAGACGTTTATTCAAACACTCTTTCACGTAAATTTCTTGGTTGACAGTCCCGGAAGCTATGAAAATGCTGCTTTTCAAGCCACAGGTACAGATGGCTTGCCAAACCAGATATTTCTTTGCGAACTTTGACAGTTTCATGTGCTTGAAAACATCTGCTACCTTTCCCCTTCCTTTTGCCGTATAAAACTCCTGTCCCGGAAGCTGCTTGTAGTCGGCTTTGACGTAGGTTTCGTCGTCCATTACCACGCAGTCAAACTTCGTCAGCATCGTCGTGTACAGCCTCCGGGATCGCGCTTTGGCCGTCGTATTTTGTTTATCATCGCGATTTGGAGTCACTACCTTCTTGTAAGTCGATAGTCCGGCTCGTTTTTTGGCTCGATGCACGGTTGTAGACGATACACCCAGCTTATTTGCGGCATCTCGGAGAGAGAGGTTAGGGTTTCGCTTGAAACTACCGGCAACTCTCTTTGTCGTCTCAGCGGCTTCCGGTTTTCGATTTCCCCCCGATCCAGACTTCCTGGCTGTCGACAAACGTTCCCCAAACACTTTAATTACATTTGTAACGGTTGATTTGTTTCCCCTGAGGTTTCCACTATCCGATGATGCTGGTAATTTTTGTTCGATTGGCGAAGAAGAAACGTTTTGTTTTAAAATTTGGTATTACCTTTTCAATTGTTGGTCTACAATATATTGAATTGGATCCGCTTTTTGATAGATCGAAATTCTATCCGCCAGACTATAAATATAGTGACTATACACAGCAAAAAAAATGTATTATCGATCAATGTAATTCAAGCTGATGTATGAAATAATGATGTAATAGCAAAAAGTAGATACAATACTACATCAATGGATGTAATTTTGTTCGCAAAATCGATGTACATCGTACAACGTTATATTACACAACCGATGGATTGACCTGGTTGCAGCAGTTTGGATGTAATATTCAACAACTTTTTTTTTCTGTGTAGGTACAACTACACAGAAAAAAAAGTTGTTGAATATTACATCCAAACAGCTGCACAGAGGTCATTCCGCCGGTTGTGTAATATTACGTTGTACGATGTACATCGATTTTGCGAACAAAATTACATCTATTGATGTAATATTGTATCTGCTTTTTGCTATTACATCATTATTTAATACATCAGCTTGGATTACGTTGATCGATATAACATTTTTTTTAGCTGTGTAGCTTACTTTTGAGTGGAAAGCGAGTCAAAAATTCCAGACGAATTGCAAGTAAATGAAAACTGTTTATAGTACGTTCAAACTACAGAGTTGTAACATGTTATAGCGCTATCTTGATGATGATTTCTGTGTTGCAATTATTTGACAACCGTTATAACATGTTATAACTGCTCAGTCTGGACCAAGGCTACTACATATGGGTGTTCTAATGTGTCAAATTCATGATTCAGTCATGTTGGATTTTTGTATGGGACAGCGACCGAGTTCTAAAACCGCGGGGGGGGCCGCGACCTCCTCGCCTATACAGTGACAACGCTGTATCACCATTTATTTACCCACCATGGTCTTGACAGCGCTTTACCACCTACTTTAACTTCCTGCACAGTGCTGAGATGAGTGAAAAGAATTAACTTTAGAACTTTTTTCTTACTGTGATATTACCGAACAAGGATTTCGATGCTAAAATGTCGATAAAGCAGATCACTCGGTGAGACCGGCGCTTTCATGCGGCTGTCAAAACAAATCAACATAAACATAACAAACGCAATCAAACGTGAATCCGGCGCTAGGATATAAAGATTTAAGTTTTTCTTTTGATTAATACTGAAAAGCAGCTAAAATGGCTCAAACTACCGTTGCCAATCAATCAACTTTGTTACCGCTTGGTGAGTATGCCATTTATTGGTGATTTTATGTGTCATCCAACATGTTTGATTGCCTACAGAATTGGTGGACAAGTGCATCGGTTCTAGAATACATATAATCATGAAAAATGATAAGGAAATCGTTGGAACTCTACTGGGATTCGATGATTTTGTCAACATGCTGCTGGAGGATGTGACCGAGTACGAAAACACATCGGAAGGCCGAAGAATCACCAAGCTGGATCAGATTCTACTGAACGGGAACAACATAACCATGGTGAGTACGAACGTTTTGTTACAGCGGTACGGACATTTGAATCGTTTTCGTTTTATTTGAAGCTTGTCCCTGGAGGTGATATACCGGAAGCGAATTAGGAACCAAAAGGTCAGCCAGGTTGTTTTTCCTTTAATTGATTGATGTAACTATAAATTATTGCGTAAGAATAACATAACATGTTGCAATTTATTGTCGAAAGAAAGGATCAATGGGACTTAGTATAGGTACCTACTAACCAAACCTGAACTTGAAAATATGTACCGTGGAGGCACCATATTCGAAGCGGTTCCTAAATCGACGCACTCAATGTCGAATAATGTTCGACTTTGTTTTTGAAATGTTACTTCTACAAATATTAGTTCCAGTGCTCTAGGGGATGATGGTGTACCTAAGTTTTAAAAAATATCTTGACAAAATCAAGGTGCGATCAAAAGTAGACTACCCTAATAACAAAATACCATCAACGAACGATAACCCAAATAATAGAACTATCCCACAAATGGTTGGGATGATACCCCGAACACGTCGTTAAGCAAAATAACCATAACAATTTTATTAGGGTAGTGCTTCATCATTAGCAATGCGTCAAATATGGTCCTGCACGGTAACAGATCTTTTACTACGACTTAGATCTAATTTTGGGGCTACTAAGCACAACCCTTACTTTTCCAAGCGGGTTTTTTTTTCGGTTTTCCAGTCACAAATTGTTGAGATATTGTAAATGTAACACGCTTTTTTTATTCCAAACTCGGCCTACCGATTCTAATTTCGCACGAACACAGTGAAACATCATTGAATTCTGTTTGGCCTACCGATGAAGATAAAAATGAATTTTGTCGGAGAACTCCTTTTGTTTTTGAGAATAATGTATGTAAAAATTCATACCATGGGTTTTTATAGACTTTGTTTGATAGCTATTGAATTAAACTATCGTACCAAATGTTTAATTGATTCGTTACGCCGAAATCATGGATGTATTTGATGTTTTCTGCTCGATAGGTCGAAGTAGTTCTCCTACACTACCTATGTTGAAAATAGGAGCTTTATGCCAGCTTAATAGGTTTTGGGTATTTTCAGCTCTTAAATATTTATTAAGATTGGAGCAATGAACAATTGTGCTACTAATTTCAATTAAAAACTATGTATTCCCAAAATCAGTGTCCTCGTCATCACCATTATGTTAGCATGAGAACGAAAATGTTGCTAGACTTATATTTATATTTACTTTTGCTGTATTATATTTATAGAATCAATTTAGTGGAAACGCATTAATTGCGATTTTTATACTTAATCATATGTTTTACATAAGCCGAAAGGATAATATTTTTATTTGTTTGGTTTTCATGGCAATCAATAGTTATCCACAATGACGCTCTTCATATTTCCTGAGCTTTAAAGAAATCTGATAATTATACGATACTATTCAAACCCCAACGGTCAGAATAACTGGATCAGCTTGCACTTCCTTGATTTTATCGCGGATCTCACTGGACTCTGACTCTGGTTCCGTTGTGCTCGATGTCGCAATCGTCGTAGAAGTCACATATCCCCCCGAAACGTCATTCTCCGGTGTGACGATTTCAACGAGGGTCGTTTCGTTTTTGCCAACTTTCGTACTGTCGATGTTTGTCGTTCCACTAATCACTTCTGTCGACGAATCTGGAAAGGTGCTAGATACGGTTGTACTATCTACGATCGTCGTTGGTATGGCTGTTAGAATATGAAGTTTGGTATATTCTGGAACTTTGGTTGTGATTGTTGCTTTTGTTGTTTCATCGGGTTCATGGTGTTCTGTGGCAGTAGATTCTGTTACCAGGTCTACCTTGATCAAATCCACTTCTTCGGTGGCATTGCTGAACAGTTTGGTCTTATTTTCTGCGATCAGGCGATGATTGGTTGGATGAAACAGAATCTCCTGTAGGGTGGCAGTTTGCGCTGGTTCAATTGCGACTTGGGTGTGACCATCAGCTGAGTGAAACTTTTCCGTAGTGTTCACCTCGCCTCGCGAAATAAGTGATTCGGCAAGGTTTCCAAAGTAATTTTCGATGTTAGCTATGGTCGAGTTGATCGGGATCGGACTGCCTACAGTCAACGTTACTAGACATATCTGTCGATAAAAAAAGAGAAATTAGTTCGACCTTTCCAATTAGGATTGTGAAACACAGTCTTACCGTGACAAATTGTGCTAACATTCTCGCTATCCTATCCACAAAAGGTTTAACTTAATCTATTGCGGCGTAGTGGTAAAGACTACTCGGACAACTGCACATTACCCGCGGTAGGATGAGAACGAACTGATCTGTTTAATCAAGATCTCTGAGTGATAATCAGTCTGTTGGTTCCATCTCGGCCGTCACAAAGGCCTTTGATAGCGAATCGAAATATTCGTCGGGCGCACATGAGTGTGTATCAGTCATCCCAACGGATTCATCGTGGAATGGAGATGCTTACTCAGACAATTAGCGGAATTTCAATCGAGGTGATTTTTTTACTTTCAATTTAACGCTTCAGGTAGATGACAGGGAAAATTTCCACTGGACGTATTGCGATTTGGTAAATAGAATGCCGAAGTCAGCAACATGGTGCTCTCATTTTATCATCTAGGATGTAGAACCATATTAGCAAACAGTGATGCATGCACCAGATCCGGTTTCTATTGCCTAACGGTTTGATTTGTGAAATCTAAGTGTCTATTAGGTACATAAAACCAGGTGCGACAAGCCTTCTACATTTTGAACTATAAATTTACTACCTTTAAGTATGGTAAAGATTGGTCACGGGGCAAGTTGGGTCAGCTAGTACACATATTAATTTATTTGTTTTTCAACATCAACAGACTTAATGTCCCCTATAGTTTGATTTTTCAAACCAGAATTGCTGAAAGTCTCTTTAATAAAGAAATACAAGGTAAGACAAACCAGAATTGGGGCTACGCTGAGCCTGTTGATGTTGACAATCAGAAAAAAAATCAAATAGATGACTCATCTTTCCCCTCCTTACGCTACTTACTCACAATGTGCTAAAAATGTTTTAATTTATTCTAAGAGAAGGGGAGACAATAGGGGGACTTTTACGAACAAATTTTCTGTCAAACGCATACCAGCGCCTGATTAAATAATAAGAATGTTACAAAATTACAACTAGATAAATTCTAAGAGGAAGAGGATACAACTGGCTTCTTTTTGTCTGTGACGTGTTCTTCTTCTCTCGCGGAAACGACCGTGCAAAACTATATCATTATAGAGTTCTCCAGATGCACAAAAGTGTGTGTGAGACCGCGCGCTACCTTTTGTAGTAGTACTATCTTTTTGGTTCTTCTTCTTCATTTTTATATATGGATGTTGGATTTTAGTGTTCGGCAAAGCTGGAGATCAAATTGAAATCAGGATTTTATAGCAAGTGCCCCCGGTGGCGGTAGAGCGAAAGGAACCATAGGGCGGACTAATCACAAACAATTAGGGCAATGTGCACCAACAAATCGAAATAAATTAAAAACAATCACCTTAACAACCGTATATTCTTGCTACCTGAATTTCCTTCCTACTTTCCTTTCCCAACTACGAGACGCTCTGCTATCTTTCTTTTCTACTCTACCACTAGATTACATAAAAGGTTTTTTCGCTACTCTTCTACCTTCGGCTGCTGCTGATGGGTGCTCCTGCATCACTGGTACTGCTTGGGTACAACCATAGAAGTAACTCTAAGACCAGAAGGTCCCGAAGAAACGTGCTCAACTTTTTGGCTCAGCTCTGGTACTATCTTCGGACCCAATAAGCTAATCGATCCACCCCTTGAAACATAGGAAAATCCTCGAACCCCTCATTTTATCTGTCAAACTTTCATAGCGAATCAAAACAAACATAGTGTAGTACTAGAATTTCAACTAGAATGGGGAACGTTAATCGATTTGCTTGGGCCCAATAGGCTAGTCAAATAGTGAGCCAATTTAAAATCGTTAGTTTCCACTGGTTGGTACAACGGTACTAATTTGTATGTCTGTCTCAGCTACCAACAGGACACAACAAAGAAAAAAAGCCGGAGAGCAACCGGAAGTGTCACCGCATTGTAAATCGTTGGATGCGATAATTGAACGGGCCCGAAAATGTCGAATATCGTGCTCGATAAGGATTCATTCTACCGACGAATAAAACGCCTCTACGCCAACTGGAAGGAACCAGAGTTTTCCCATGATAATTCGCTGCAGAAGGTTGATGGCTTTCTGACAGCGGTCGGTGTAGACGAAGAAACCATCTACAGCAAATCCACCTCGCTGCAGACCTGGCTGCTGGGATACGAGCTGACCGATACGGTTACGGTGCTGTGCGGGCATTCCGTCGGTGAAGTTGTTGGTTGGGGATAAGAACGACAAAGAAAAGGCCAATCTTGAAAAGCTGCTGGAAGCGATCAAAGATCCAAGGATGGCAAAACGTTGGGCGTCTTCTCCAAGGACAACTTCCGGGGTGAATTCTGTGAATCATGGCGAGCCTTCGTCAAGGACAAGAGCTTCGACACGGTCGTCCCAATCGGGTACATTATGTGCTCCAAGAAGGACTCCGAGGTTATCACCATCAAAAGGGCCTGTCTGGTAGACGGTAGATTATTCAACAAGTACCTCAAGGATCACATCATGGAGATTATCGATGCTGATAATGCCAAACAGAGGGTGTCGAGCAGCGAGCAGGCTCTGACGGACAAAAGGTACGTCGCCGGTGTGGATACCAATTAGTTGAACATGTGCTACCCGGCGAGTATCCAATTGGGTGGCAATTACAGCTTGAAGTTCAGTGCATTCCGCGACAAGAATTATCTGCACTTCGGATCGATCATCTGTGCTATAGGTGCGCGTTACAAGTCTTACTGCTCCAATGTCGACCGAACATTGCTGGTCAATCCAACGGAAACGATTGAGAAGCACTACACCTTTCTGTTCAGTCTGGAAGAGGAACTGGTGAAGGTGATGATTTCGGGCAAGAAGCTCTCGGAGGTTTTCGAAGTCTCAAAGGATTATGCCAAGAAGGATGATCCCATGCTAGGACGTTCGGTTTTGCCATCGGTTTGGAGTTCCGGGAGAATTCGATCGCAGTACCTCAACTAGTGAAATTCAGTTTAAAAATTGTAAGTTAATTAGGTTCAGTGGAAGCAATAAAAATTCAGTGTGATTGTGCCGTGCAAATTTTATGTTGAGGCAACGACTCGAGATTGGCAGGATGTGGCCTTGTAAGGACCCTACTTTTCAGCCGCAAATCACTAGCAATCTGTCAATTGGTCATATACCAAACCAAACTCACTTGAACAATACCATCATACCAATCCGCAAACCCGGTAAGGATCCAACATTGCCTTCAAGCTACAGACCAATCAGCCTCCTTTCTTTTTTTTCCTTGATTTGTTTTTCGTCGATCTTGTTTTCCGTGCTGAGCACCAATGCTACCGACGCCAGGGAGATAGCTTCCATACCTGGACCCTACCTATCGACTCATCGACTCATGAACCGGGGACCAACGGCTTTACTTCCCTTCCGAAGGAAGGCGTGATCAGAGATGTTATGCCTCAGAACATCCCGGCGGCGCCGCCTGGGATTGAACCCAGGCCAGCACCGCTAGTACGGGTGATGAATAACATCCGAAGTAACAAAGCTGTATCCAAGTCCACAGCCATGGTCTTGCTGGACGTTGAAAAGGCGTTTGACAATGTCTGGCATGGCGGACTTGTGTACAAGCTTTGTAACTTCAACTTCCCATTACATCTGGTTAAAATCTCCCGTATCTACCTCCAGCAAAGGTCGTTTAAGGTATCGGTGAATGGTTGTCTTTCAGACACGTTTTCCATCCCAGCAGGTGTTCCGCAAAGAAGTCTGTAGGGTCCTTTGCTTTACAACATCTACACTTCCGACATTCCTCCCCTCGAAGACGGCTGCGTGTTTTTCCTGTTCGCAGATGATATCACAAAAACCGTCAAAGGAAGGATGCCTCGCGAAATAACGAACAAACTTCAACAATGACTTGCTGATTATGCCACCAGGTGGAAAATCAAAATCAATGCCTCCAAAACACAAGCGATCGACAATCGCCCAAACTGAAACCGGCTCCATCTTGTACTGTAATCATGCTTTGCACAAGGGTTGAGTGGTCCGCCGAAGTAACCTACCTCGGGATGTTGTTTAATGAAAAGCTCCTCTTCCGTTCGCATGCAGAGAAAACAGTAGTCAAGTGTTCTGCCTTAGTTAGGTGACTTGCCGCAGATCCCGCCTCTCAATGGTGAACATTGGCTGTCTACAAACAAATCATAACACCTGCGATCCTCTACACAGCTCCGGTGTGGGAATCATGTGCATAGACTCACAGGAACAAAATCCAGGTTGCTCAGAATAGAGTGCTGAGGATGGTACTTGATCGTTAAAAATAGATTCCAGAATTAACGAAATTAAGACTAAATTTGCACAAAAATTTAATATATCAGAACATGCTTTGATAAGCAATTTGTATATCGTAGATTAGGTGTATATTAGACTGATGCAAATTTTGACATTTTCGCTCCACAGTGCTCAAACGGTTTCAAGTCGGGTCCTGATTAGTCTCCCAAAATTTGAACTCATTTGAAAAGAAACTGACTTGGCACAAACCATTTGAAGTTTATATGGAAATTACTATGGGAAATCCAAACTTTTTGTTCATTGTCTTCATACCTTTTTCCATATGGCACTGTTCAAAAATTCAAAAGCTATACTTATGGAAAATTTTCTCAGCTTCAACTTAGCAGAATCTAGTTGTTGAGCCAAACGTCAAATAAAATAGTTATTAATTGTTTAAGAGATTGATAATCTTATGGCATGATCAAGCAGCTGTCTTGTGAGCAACACTGTATCTTGCAGTGTGACATAGTAGCCATGATTTTTGTGCTCTATTCCAAGCACCAGAAACACCTATGTTATCTGCTGAACAGTTGATTGAGCATAATCGTAAGACATTAGTGGCTTGAATTATTGATAACTTTTGATGCTTACATTACATTGAAAAGTGGTTCAGGACAATGTTGTAGCTGAGAAAATTTTCTACGAGCTCAGCTATCATTTTTGAAAGCAGAGCGATATGGTAAATTGTTAGATGGATATGAACAAAACATTTGGTTTTCCTATAGTAATTTCCATATAAAATTCAAATGGTTTGTGCGAAGTCAGTTATCAAATGAGTTCAAATTTTGGGAGACTAATCAAGACCCGATTTGGAACCGTTTGAGCACTGTGGAGCGAAAATGTCAAAATTTGCATCAGTCTAGT